AGGTTAAGTTTATGTGAAGCACAATGATAAAAACATGCCATTGGATACTTGCGTCGTATGATACTTTGTACTCCATTTATTCTACCACTCATTGTCGAGCATCCGTCAAATCCAAGGCCAATAAGTTGTGACAAACTTAATCCATATTTATTAGTGATATTAATTAAGGCATTTGCAATACCTTCAGCACTTAGGTCTTGAACTTCAGTGAAACCTAGAAATTCTTCTCTAATTTCAAAACTTTGCATGTTGAAATAACGAATACCAATTGACAATTGCTCTTTTCCGCTTATATCAGAAGTTTCATCAGCTAACAAGGAAAATACATAAGAATCATTGATACAAGATATTATATCGTTGCGAATAACATCACCACAAATACTTATTATCTCATTCTGTATTCTATGGGACACATATTTTGTTTTAGTTGTACATGTTTCAAAATGATTCATCAAAATTGTATCACCAGAGTCTACTCGAAACTTCAGTAAATCAATAAAATTTCCTTCATCAGAACATTTACATCTTATAGCAATATCATGTGTTCCACAGTATATTAATGTTTTAATAATTGGGATAATCTTTTTTCGGTTATTTTCAATAACTCTGTTATACCCAGTATCTATTTGTTCCAACACAGTTTTTTTTTTAAATGTTAATGTATCCTCAAACATTTTTGCTGATGCTGTTGAATCTTTATGACATTGCAATTGGCTATGTTTTTTTGCTTATTCATGTATTTTATAAAATTTAACAAACGGTTTAATTATAAATGCTCCATACAATCCTCTTTTAAGAGTAGGCTTAAATAACACACAAAATTTGCATAAAACTCCTTTACATGTTGGAGAATAAACCATCCAATCATATTTATCCAGACATCCAACACTGAATCCTCGTTTAGCACCTGGGATCATATCATTTTTGAAATTATAACAACTGGTTGGCTTGAATGGAAATTTCAGTAACTTGTACTTTAAGTAATCTGCAATTGGTCGAACATTAATAAATGCTCCTACGTCTAAAAAATCAGGAATATTACTGTTTGAATCTGAAAAAAATATTTAATTGAACTTAAAATATATGAAAAATGGAAATACTCAATGACAAACTGCAATGTCAATTACTATTAACTAATAATAAATGTTATAATTAAAGTAAGTACTTATATAGAGTATTGAACAATAATGCTCATGTATAGAAATTAACGATTTATAAATAAAAAAAATTCAAAAGATACATTTTTAAAATTATTACTCACTAGTATCAGTAGACGTTGCAGTTGTAGCAATACTTTGTAATGAAGGTGACTG